TTCATCCAGACCACATCACATGATCCATTGTCTACAGCCAAGCTCTAAGATACAACTGCATTTGCTCCGATCCCTCAGACAGAGACAAACACCTACAGAATCTCTATCAAGCGTTCTTAAAACTGCTATACCCATCTGGTGAAGTGAAGAAACAGATTGACAGAGCCAGAAGGGTACCGAGAAGTCACCTACAAGACAGGCCCAACAAAGAAAGTAACAGAACGTCACTAGCCGTCACCTATAGCCCCCAACTAAAACCTTTCCAGTGCATCATCAAGGATCTACAACCTACCTTGCAGGATGATCCCTCACTCTCACAGACCTTGGGAGACAGGCCAGTCCTCACCTACAGACAGCCCCCCAACCTGAAGCAAATACTCACCAGCAACTACACACCACACAACAAAAACGCCAACCCAGGAACCAAACCCTGCTACAAACTACGGTGCCAACTCTGTCCACATATCTATTGAAGGGACACCATCATAGGACCTAACCACATCAGCCACCCCATCCGGGGCTCATTCACCTGCACATCTACCAATGTGATATGTGCCATCATGTGCCAGCAATGCCCCTCTGCCATGTACATTGGCCAAACCGAACAGTCTCTATGCAAAAGAATAAACGGACACAAATCTGACATCAGGAATCATAACGTTCAAAAACCAGTAGGAGAACACTTCAATCTCTCTGGTCACTCAGTAACAGTGGCAATTCTTCAACAAAAAAACTTCAAAAACAGACTTCAACGTGAAGCTGCAGAACTGGAATTAATTTGAAAACTGGATACCATCAGATTAGGTCTGAATAAAAACTGGGAGCGGTTGGGTCATTACAAAACCTAAACTTAATTTCCCTGATACTAATTTCTCCCTACTGTTACTCACACCTTCTTGTCAACTGTCTGTAATGGGTCACTCTCTTACAACTTCAAAAGTTATTTTTCCTCCCTTGGTATCCTGCTGTTAATTAATTTATCTCGTTAGACTGACCTCACACTTGGTAAAGCAACCCCCATCCTTTCATGTATTTATACCTGCTCCTGTATTTTTCACTTCATGCATCCGATGAAGTGGGTTCTAGCCCACGAAAGCTTATGCCCAAATAAATTTGCTAGTCTCTAAGGTGCTAAGGTGTGTGGTTTTTTGTTTTGTTTTTAAGGAAATTCAAAGTTACTGGTCACACACTGTCCTTAAGTCACATTACCGGGAAAAGAAATGATCCACTGAGACAAGCAAAGGTCTGTTATAAAACTCTGGAAAGGGGAGATTACAACGGGCATGCAAAGTACAAAAAGCTTTGCTATAATAAGAGATCCTTGTAACATCCTATCAGGGATCAGCAACCTTTGGCATGCGGCCTGCCAGGATAAGCACCCTGGCGGGCCAGGCCGGTTTATTTACCTGCTGCGTCCGCAGGTTCAGCTGATCGTGGTTCCCACTTGCCGCTCCAGGCCAATAGGGGCAACGGGAAGCCACGGCCAGCACATCCCTTGGCTCAGGCTGCTTCACACAGCCCCCTTTGGCCTGGAGCAGCGAGCCGCGGTCAATGGGAGGATGTTTACCCTGATGGGCTGTGTGCCAAAGGTTGCCGATCCCTGTCCTATGAATTGCTCAAAGAGTTTGTCATATAGGTTCATTGAAATTAGATAACGTGTTCAAAAAGGAAAAAAATATCTATAAAGCATGAATATTGCTATGGCTAACATATATAATCAAATCTGTACATCGGCACAATATAGTGCTGACATACTTTGAAAGTAACCATAAAACTGGCATTGGGGGCTTCGATATTTATTTTCTCAATAACTTCAGATAAAATGTATCCAGTTTACAACAGAAAGGTTTTTGGGTTGTCTTTTAAATTGTTACCCTTCTTGCAAATTCTTCTTGTGATCTGAAACCCAAACTGAGCTCATGCATCAGCAGCAAAGGACTGCATATTTATATAGAAGGTAAGATAACCAGGCTTCCCCTCCCTGCAAGAGCTTTTTCTGGGATATAAATCTTCAGGCTCCAGGGTGTTAGCCAGCCTCTAACTAAAGAGGGTTAGGAAGAAACTTCTCCTGTGGGAAAGTTACTCTAAAACTGCCTCCTGCAGGGTGTCTTGCACCTTCTTCTGAACCAGCTGGCAATAGCCATCACTGGAGACAGCACACTGGACTGGATGGACAGGTCAGATCCAGTCCAGCAATTCCTGTGTTTCTAACTAAACTGCAACTGCAAAATCTTTAGTGATGCGCGAGACAGAAGAGAGTTCATTTAATCTCCCAGAACTTTTGGCTGGGCATTCCTGATATGAGTACAGATTAGAAAGCACTTATTTTTTCTTTAAAACCTCTGACTGCATACACATAGGGACCAGGTCTATTGAGTAAGAAGGTGCCACTTTTACATCATTTTTTGTGACCACAGCCACTCATTTTTAAGTGACAACATACTTTTTCTTAAGGAAAAAATTATAAAAAATGGAAATCAGAAAGTGTAAAAAGATAGCTTTTAAGCAAGGTTTTACTCAGAAGGAAACCACAGGAATCCCTAGGATATATTCTCTGTGTAGGACATTTATATCAAATCAGTTATTTGCAGTGTTGTAGCTGTGTTGGTCACAGGATATTAGACAAATGAGAGGGGGTGAGGTAATATCTTTTATTGGATCAACTTCTTTTGGAAACAAGCTTTAGAGTTTACACAAAGCTCTTCTTCAGATCCTGAAGTCAGAATATGATTTTTCTGGCTGCCAGCAAAGCAGGGATCTGCACATCCAGATGGGTTCTTTCTAAGTCTTACATCACCCTCAGAAACAAATACGTCACAGTTGGATCTTAACTGACACACAAGGCAAAACAGAATCCAGCTTCAACTCTCATAGCTTCATTGCTCTAGGAGGTTAACAGGGATAAAAACTTATTTGGTTTCATTTGCAAAGCAAACCAGCTATAGGCACAAGAAGAGGGTGTTAGGCATAACAGAAAATGTGGAAATGGCAGAGATGCTTAATGACTTTGTTATGGTTTTCATCAAGAAGGTTGGTGGTGATTGGACATCCAACATAGTTAATGCCAGTGAAAATGAGATAGGATCAGAGTCTAAAATAGGGAAAGAACAAGTAAAAAATTATGTTAGATGTCTTCACATCACCAAGGCCAGATGAAATGCATTCTAGAATACTCAAGGAGTTGACTGAGGAGATATCTGAGCCATTAGTGATTATCTTTGAAAAGTCCTGGAAGACGGGAGAGATTCCAGAAGACTGGAAAAGGGCAAATATAGTGCCCATATATAAAAAGGGAAATAAGGACAACCCGGGAAATTACAGACCAGTCAGCTTAACTTCTGTACCCCTAAAGATAATGGAGCAAATAATTAAGCAATCAATTTGCAAACACCTAGAAGATAATAAGGTGATAACAGTCAGCATGGATTTGTCAAGAACAAATTGTGTCAAACCAACCTGATAGCTTTCTTTGACAGGGTAACAAGCCTTGTGGATGTGTGTGTGTGTGGGGGGGGGGCAGTAAATGTAGGATATCTTGACTTTATTAAGGCTTTTGATACTGTCTTGCATGATCTTCTCATAAACAAACTAGGGAAATGCAACCTAGATGGAGCTACTATAAGGTGGGCGCATAACTGGTTTGAAAATTGTTCCCAGAGAGTAATCATCAGTGGTTCACAGTCATGCTGGAAGGGCATAACGAGTGGGGTCCTGCAGGGATTGGTTCTGGGTCCGGTTCTGTTCAATACCTTCAGCAATGATTTAGATAATGGCATAGAGAATACACTTATAAAGTTTGTGGATGATACCAAGCTGGGAGGGGTTGCAAGTGCTTTAGAGGATAGGATTAAAATTCAAAATGATCTGGACAAACTGGAGAAATGGTCTGAAGTAAATAGGATGAAATTCAAAAAGGACAAATGCAAAGTACTCCACTTAGGAAGGAACAATCAGTTGCACACATACAAAATGGGAAATGACTGCCTAGGAAGGAGTACTGTGGAAAGGGATCTGGGAGTCACAGTGGATCACAAGCTAAATATAAGTCAACAGTTTAATGCTATTGCAAAAAAAGTAAACATTCTGGGATGTGTTAGCAGGAGTATATTGTAAGCAAGACATGAGAAGTAATTCTTCTGCTCTACTTTGCGCTGATTAGGTCTCAACTGGAGTGTTGTGTCCAGTTCTGGGCGTCACATTTCAGGAAAGATGTGGACAAATTGGAGAAAGTCCAGAGAAGAGCAATAAAAATGATTAAAGGTCTAGAAAACATGACCTATGAGGGAAGATTGAAAAAATTGGGTTTGTTTAGTCTGGAGAAGAGAAGACTGAGAGGGGACATGATAACAGTTTTCAAGTACGTAAAAGGTTGTTACAAGGAGGGGGGAGAAAAATTGTTCTTCTTAACCTCTGAGGATAGGACAAGAAGCAATGGGCTTAAATTGCAACATGGGCGGTTTAGGACATTAAGAAAAAACTTCCTGTCAGGGTGGTTAAGCACTGAAATAAATTGCCAAGGGAGGTTGTGGAATCTCCATCATTGGGGATTTTTAAGAGCAGGTTGGACAAACACCTGTCAGGGATGGTCTAGAGAATACTTAGTCCTGCCTTGAGTGCAGAGGACTAGACTAGATGACCCATCGAGGTCCCTTCCAGTTCTAGGTTTCTATAATTCTATAAGATCAGGGCAGTTTTACGCACATATGTATGAGCCTGCTGAATAAGCTAGTGTGAAGTAGATAATCTATTTCTCCTACTCTCCACTACATTTTCAAGAGCTCCTGTAAAGATCTGCCAGATCATGAATGTGCTGTTCAGAGTTCCGCAATAACACAACACACACTACAACATAACATGAGGTAACATAACCATACCCAGCTAGTGTAAGTCACCACAGCTACACTGCAATCAATCAATCAGCTGAGAATTTGGTCCAATGTACGGATATGTTAAAACAGGAGAAGGTGTGGACGCATGCTGAATATATTCTATCATCTTACCTGAATTGTAATAAAGGTCAGGTCTTTCTAGAATATCCCCTTCATGGATGTAGGGCTCAATGCAGTCATCCCCATACAGGTACTGCTCACTCTCGTCCATCTGTCGAGACTCTACCATCTCCAGCCACTGAGAGTTGTGCCATCGGAATTTCTCACTCTGGATCTTCTTAGCCCATTCCTCATCATATTCCTGTAAAAAATGCCAAGCAGGTTTTTGTAGGTAAATGCGAGTGAACTTTATGTTAGTGAAAGACACAAGCTTGACAGTCTTGGAGACTGAAGTCCTTTGTTTAACTTGACGTGCATTGACTGTATAAAGCAACATGTTGCAAGTATCATGTGACACATTGGCAAACCAGGTGCCAGCTCTTGCCAAGTTTGTAGGCATCAACTGAGCACTGACAAATTCATAGCTGGAAGCCACACCAGCTCACCTATATATTATTGTTCAAGATAGGTGTTAGACTTGTAAGAATGTGTTTAGTCTCTATAAAATGCTTGTATGTTGCTGCATGCATTAATCTTACTTTTATGTCTGAATCCCATGCTATAAGATAGCTTTACAACTGTAAAAATGCCTACTCTGAATTTGTGAACTTAGGCATGAAGAGGGGCTCCCCACCCACCAAAAAGGACTATCAAGACTAAATAGGCCACTGTAGAAAAACTTCGTTGATTGCACCATCTACCCATGGAGAAGTTGCATGCAGGAGCCCTTGTCCCATAGTGTCAAGGTTGATTCCCCACTCTGGCACTTCGAGTGCAGAAGGTGGAGGCTCCGCAATTTAAAAAAATTAATACTGGCCACTCCAGGCTTGTATTAAACTCCCAAGGTTACAGCTTCTCTCTGGCCTTGGATGGGTAGATGCTGCCACCACCCAAGTGCAAAAAACCCCTTTGGACCCAGGAAGGAGCACTTGGGAATTCCTCCCTGTGGTGTACCCTCAAGTCCTTTCACCCTCTCCCCTTCCATCCTCCCCCTGGGAAGAGCTGAGAAAGGTAATCAGCTGTTAGAATCATAGAATATTAGGGTTGGAAGAGACCTCACGAGGTCATCTAGTCCAATCCCATGCTCAAAGCAGGACCAACACCAACTAAATCATCCCAGCCAAGGCTTTGTCAATCCAGGTCTTAACCTCTAAGGAAGGAGATTCCACCACCTCCCTAGGTAACCCATTCCAGTGCTTCACCACCCTCCTAGTGAAATAGTGTTTCCTGATATCCAACCTAGACCACCCCCACTGCAACTTGATACCATTGCTTCTTGTTCTGTCATCTGCCACCATTGAGAACAGCCTAGCTCCATCTTCTTTGGAACCTCCTTTAGGTAGTTGAAGGCTGCTATCAAATCCCCCCTCACTCTTCTCTTCTGTAGACTAAATAACCCCAGTTCCCTCAGCCTCTCCACATAAATCATGTGCCCCAGTCCCCTAATCATTTTCGTTGCCCTCTGCTGGACTCCCTCCAATTTGTCCACATCCCTTCTGTAATGGGGGGGACCAAAACTGGACCCAATACTCCAGGTGTGGCCTCACCAGTGTTGAACAGAGGGGAATAATCACTTCCCTCAATCTGCTCCTACTAATATAGCCCAATATGCTGTTCGCCTTCTTGGCAATGAGGGCACGCTCCTGACTCATATCCAGCTTCTTGTCCACTGTAATCGCCAGGACCTTTTCTGCAGAACTGATGCTTAGCCAATCAGTCCCCAGCCTATAGCGGTGCATAGGATTCTTTCTTCCTAAATGCAGGACTCTGCATTTGTCCTTGTTGAACCTCATCAGATTTCTTTTGGCCCAATCCTTCAATTTGTCTAGGTCACTCTGGACCCTATCCCTACCGTCCAGCATATCTACCTCTCCCCCCAGATAACTAAACAACATACACACAAACCTCTTAGGACACCAAAAATCCAATCCTGTCCCCCCCAAAAAAATACATCTGGAACTTAGACTTTTTGCTAGACAAAAAAAAATTATTAGAAAAATTAAGCATCAAGATAGTTCTCTTGAGGTTCAGCTTAAAAGTTACAAGCAAAACAAAAGCACCTGGGGTTAGCACAGAGGAGTCCACAAGCCAATAAGAAATAAATAGAAATAAACCTAATCTCATCTTCCTAGACATTCCCTAATTTACTTACATATCTGGGGTTTCAGATAAGCAATGACCGTTTTTCAGACCTGGCTTAAAGCTTCTCACAGCCTAATTGCTGCCCTGTTCCCGTCTTCCCCGGAGAACCACAACATACAGACAAAGGGAAGTTTTTTCCCATTTTTAAAAAGTTCTAGCCCTCCCATTGGGTCTTTTGGTCAGGTACCCGCTCCTTTCCTTTTACCTGTGGGCTTGTTAAATCCTTTACAGGTAAAGCAAGTAGAGAACAGCTACTAAGAGGAATATTATACTAACTGGCTGGGTGTCCATAAAAGGAAGCTGCCCCCAGCCTTCATTTATCACACATAGGTTTGAACTTTGGCGGAAGGACTTATAAAGATGCGCACAAGAAGAAATGGTTCTCTTTGCTATTTGGATTCTTACAAAGGCTGGAGCTAAGAAACAAAAGCAGAGATCCCCAGGGTCAATGTGGGTTAACCCTAAAATGGACAGATTACAACATCTCTGTCAACTTTTGGAACGAGACTCATTTGTGCTTATAGGTTGCCTGCTTTAACCTGAAAACAACACTCATTTCTTTTTACTAGTTAATAAATCCTTAGTTTACCAGAGGATTGGCTCCCGGTGTTGTCTTTGGTGAGAAATCTAAGGTACAAATTGAAGTGGGGTAAGTGACTGGTCTTCTGGGACTGGAAGCAACCTGAATATTTTGTGGTATAAATGACCATTTATCACTAAGTCCAGCTTGCCTGGGTGGCAAGACGGACTGGAGTGCCCAAGGGGACTGTGTGTGACTCCATGGTAAGACTGTTACAGTGATCCAGGAGGGTCACATTTGTTATTGGGTTGGTGACATCTAATAAAACATACCACCAGTTTTTGGGGGGTCTGCCCTGCTTTTTGACAGTTTGCCCTGAGGTAGGCACACACAGTCATAAATCACTCCAGGCGGCGTAACATCATATATTATTATTCTTTTTCTCCACAGCAGGTACAGCACAGGTGGCGGCAGTACAAGTTTCCCTTAACCCTCATTGCACCATGTGAAAGAACTTTGTTTAGGAGCAAGACAGTTCAGTCTTCACAGTTTTTGATTAACCTGCTGACAAGGAGCCAGTCATGCCAACTGCAATGGAGATTTTTGTGATTATTATAATAAAAATGTATAGGGCATATTTGCTCAGTGTTCCTGTTTAAAATTGACTAGAAGGGAGTTAATTACTGGAAAACAAATAGAGGTTCAAAAGATTTTGATAAAAATTACCAATACATATTTTGCTGCACCCTAATTTGTAAGCAATTTTCTGTTTAGCATCCCCGGAGTCTATTCCAATAATTTAAGACTCATTTGCAATCTGTGACCTCACTGTACAACTGCTTTCTATGTTTAATACTGGGTGTCCAACAAAAACAAACAGCAATACTGATTCTAGAAGATGAGTCCAAGATGCAAAGTTCAAGCCTGAATTGAACTTCAAGTTTGGAAGTTTAAGAGCAGCCCTTTATGGAACTGAAGGTCAGTTATTAAATTTGGATCTGGTTCAAAAATTTTTTGAAGTTTGGTGTGTTCAGATTCTGAGCTAAGATTCATGATCATCTCTAGATTATTTAATGAAAAGCCTAGTAAAACTTGATTTCCTCACATTAGTAATCTGATTCCCAAAGCTGGCTACATAGGAGGATTACAAAAAAGTGACAGTCTACCCATGCTGAAGTTAGCTGCAAGATAGTGCTGGTTTAGAGGAAGCAACAGAATAGTCTTGTACACGTCTTCCCCTACAGTGTAAAGCTGGCTTTACAAATGCCCTTTCAATGCCAACATGTTTGTGAGAGACAAAGTAGATGAGGTAATACACCTCTACCTCGATACAACGCTGTCCTTGGGAGCCAAAAAAATCTTACCGCGTTATAGGTGAAATTGTGTTATATTGAACTTGCTTTGATCCACCGGAGTGCGCAGCCCCGCCCCCCTGTTGCACTGCTTTACCACGTTATATCCGAATTCGTGTTATATTGGGTCACGTTATATCGAGGTAGCGGTGTATCTATTATTGGACCAACTTCTATTGGTGGAAGGTACAAGCTTTTGAGATGAAGAGTTCTTCTTCTGGTCTGGAAAAAGAAATCATAATAGCTAAGCTAAATCCAAATTGGGACAGATCGTGTCTGTGGTCATTCTTCAGTGATAAGCCGCATGCTGAAACTTGCTAACACTACTGGAAAGAGAGGCCTCGTGGTAGACTCAAGAAATGTGTGTGCGCATTTCCAAAGCCAGCTATCACATCTGTGCACAGGTTCACAGCAGAGTCTAAATGATACACAGTGGTTACCACCCATCTTAACGGAGGCCTGTCAACTGCAACATACATGCAGCAATAAAAGAAGATGATAAATAATATTTCATGGCATTCCTTCTCTGAAATGGAAGCATGTCCTAATGAGTCCTCTCCACACTCTAAGAGCCTGATTCACTGATTTCAATAGGTGCTGGATCAGTCTCTAACGGTACGTCTACACAGCAATTAGACACCCGCTGCTGACCTATGCCTGCGAGGTGGGAGGGTCCCAGAGCTCGGGCTCCAGCCTGAGCCCAGAAGTCTACACAGCAATGAAACAGCCCCACTGCCCGAGCCTTGCATCGGCTGGCATGGGCCAGCAGTGGGTTTTTCTTTGCTATGTAGACATACCCTAAGAGAAGAGATGTGTTCCTTCCGCCACATCAAATGGCTCTCTGAAAACAACCAATCAACTTACCTTGAGCCTCTGAGGCTTCATGGGGAGTTTATCACTGTGCAACATCAGAACCATTATTCCACTGGAAATGGAGAGGTTAGACCTTTGTTTTACTTGGAAGAATGGCAGTTTGTTTCTCTTGGTATGAGGCCGGACATGGACTTTCCATTCTAATACAACATCAATATAAGCACCTGCCTGCATTAGCTTCTACGGACATATTTGTGGTACAAATTTGCACTTCGTAAAATATACATCTAAGATTTTTATCTGAGTCTGCATGTAAACAAACCACACTGGAATTCTCCTCCACTTGGGGAGCAAGAGATCAGGATTTCAGGTCTC